AGACAAGGGCGTGACAATATGCATTTTGTGCTGCTATTGTGTAGCGCAAAACACATACTAAAAACAAGTTGGTAATAAACACGACGAGAAGTTCTAGGACATTTCGGCCCATTAGGCTGTGCGCATGCTAATCGCGAGAGAAAGATACTGACAGTTCTACAAATTGAGTATTTCATGTGTCCGAACGCGAGGCAGTTATGTGCATGAAAGCTTATTTCATTTGCTTGCTTATGGATGGCAAACATTCTTACAAAAACACAGCTTCCCGATAAGTCTAATTGTTGAGTCCAAAGAGTGCCAGTGGTATCACGCCTTGAGTTGCGCTTACGCCAAACCATAGTGTGCTTCAAAAGCAAATTTGATTTCTTTAAGTCGTACATGAATGGAGATCTTCATGAAATATCGGCTTCATAGCTTCTGTGGTTGATGAGTTGATAGTAAAGAGTAAAACTGGGGCACACACAAACACACATTCTTCCAACACATGCTTTTCTGCATTTTGTTAGTAATACAAAAACGCATAAAAATGTGGCATGAAAGGACAGCGCTTTACTATTCCCCCCTCATCATCGGCTGGGACGAACAGGGATAGCGATTGCGGTGTTAAATAGTGTTCTCCGCTCTTTTATGTTTATTTCAGATTACAGCTTTTGGGTGAAAGTTTTGTGATGTTTCAAATTTCTCAGTGTAATTTTCGTAATTAGTCAAGAAAAAAGGGCTTCACTGGGCGTGCAGTTCTGTTCCTGTAGCAATGTTCTCTTAATATCTGTGACTTGGACGTTCTGTATGTGCCCGTAATTTGCAGTATCGAGGAGAAGCGGAATTGAAATCAACAACACTAGAAAGCATGGGAATTAGCACAGGACGCTGCTTAATAAGGTAGCTCTCAGTTCTTTCACTTTTCTAATTAGTAGTTTTCGGGATGAAATCTGTGATATTTTTGCTTGAGTTTTGGCTGTTTTTTTTGAATAACTGCAAATGTTTCGAAAGATGCTAAATTTATCAGACACACAGCAGTTACTCTGTCACCGGAGGAAT